TCTCAAAAGATTTTTTTGTTTAGATATTGTGATGCATTTCCCTTCATAAAATAATTTTATTTTGAAGTAAAATGTTATTATTAATTTCTTTCTTTTCTTTTATTTTCTTCTTCGAATTTTATATAGCACTCGCCATCGAAATGACGACGATTCCGGCCAAACTCGGGTAGTAACTTCTTTTCTTTGATTTACGAAATTAAAATATATATTAAGCATTGAACTGGTAAACTTAGATTTGTACTATACATGGATTAACGATATATTATCGAAGTGCCGAGATTCGCCATTTTATTGGCGGGGGCATTTTTCATGTTGGTACGACGTGAGAAAGCCAATTAGCAGTCCATAATTATATAATCAATAAAATATTATAAAATCATATTGACTAATTATAAAATATTATAAAATCATATTGACTAATTAAATTTATTTAATATGCTAGTGAATTTGTTCACTTTTGTAATTTTCGCCTCATTTCAAGATACACAAGCGATTATTTTGTACAGCGATTTTTATGATAATGTCTGAAGAGGGCTCAATCCGGTAACCAAAACTTGAAATATTTGAATTTAAACTGGGTTTTTATTATTTTTTTCAATTTTACTTTTTATTATTTGTAATTTATTCTTTTTAATTGTGTGACACAATTTAAAAAATGTGTTTGACTCTTACTTTGCCCTTTATTTATTGTTATTTATTTTGTATAAGAAGAGTCCTTCTATCTATTAAATACACCGTCGACGCAATAGATGCCTCCATATATCATCTTAGGGGCTCCGCACAATAAAAGGAACAGAGAACAGAGAATAAGAATTTGAACTTATCAGAAACTGTGTATTCCACAATACATGATTTCGAGAAGATTCCGATTGCACACACGCTAATTGGCCAATTTAAAAATGAAATATTCTCATTGGTAAAGCAATAAAAAATTACTAGGCATCAGCTGATATGAGTGGTGTATGTAATCAGGATTGTAGGCAAACGGGATCCTCCCCATGATTTCTGATAAGTTGAAATTTTTATTTTTTGTTCCTTGTTCTTTTTATTGTGCGGAGTTTCTTATTTATTTAACACGGAGGCACTCGGGCAACGTTTTCGAACGCAACTTAGGTCTGTTCGCGTTGCATGCACTTTTTGCACTCAGTATCTCCGCTTTCTTTCTTTACAACGTCCATGTGTCTCCACAAAATATGTATCTATCTCATTTTAGTTCCAAAATTTTGGGGGATTTAAAGTAATGCGAACAGACCTTGTGTCTCGTGTGGAAAAGCTCTCGTAGTCACTATTGTCGATCACATTTGAATACTACTCTAGATTCGGATTGCGCAGTCCACCTATGGCTTTAAAGAAATTAAAAAATTGTTTCAAGTAACCTTCGTAATTGAATAGCGGTGATTATCGAACGATTAAACAGCGACTGAGATGTGTTAAGTGATCAAATGTGGGAGTAGTTTAATCAAATTTATGGATACGACGTAATCGCGTTGTCAGAAGTGCGTGACGAAGTTTGATCAATTGTTTATTGTAAGGTATATTGGTACATTTTCTATATGTATACACATTGCTTAGTTCTGCGTTACTCCAATAAATTTACCTGAAAATAAAATGATCTTTTTTTCTAAATTATTAAAAATTTGTATAAACCAATTATCATATTGCGAAAGTTTCTAATGTTTTCTCGTAATTGTGAAACACGCAATTTGTCTGCTCAATGTTTGGATTCGAAAATTGAGAAAAGTTTAGAAATTGATAAATTTACGGTTATAAAAGTTCTTTCCAGGTGAATATCTCGCCAATTGTTTCTCGAGTTTCTCGGCATTTGTTTCGCAGCAACAATCGTCGAGCAATGGAAAAGCCAGTGTCGTCTGACATTGTCATCATCGCGGGCAATTCTCACCCGGAATTGGCAAATCTAATTGCAAGGTGAGTAGCAAACAATGGAATTGTGAAATGTAAACATGAAAGTCAATCCGTTTTAATAGTAATATTTTGATATGTCATTGTAATTGGGCTCATATCTAAAACACTATTTTTTTATTGTGATGTTGTACATTAAGTATTATTAATTATTTATAAATATAATGATATGATATTGAAAAATATAAATAATAAAGAGCATACAGCTACAACAATAGATGTTAACACAAGTCATATATTTAAAATTTAAAATAAATAAGTTTACTTTGAATTTTAATTTATTTTAAATTTTTTTATGCTCTTTATTATTTATATTTTGTAATTGTTTAGCCACTTTCAAACATTTTACTTGGGTATAATATTATTTATGTATTTTGTTAACAATTATTTAAAAGTTTATCTATTAAAATTTAATTACGACAATTAATATTGAATTTTTTTGTAATGTCCCTCTTCTGTAAAGAAATTGTTATCCTATTTTAGAATAAAAAAATTCAGATAATGAAAGAAACATAATACATATCAAGATATTCTCTGTATATTGCAAAGTTGTATAATTGTTTTTTAAATTTCCAAGTTGGAAAGCTTGTAAGTTAATTTTTATCCAAGATATGAAAAAGAAGAAATTAATATATAAATTAATATAATTTTCTAATTAATGGAACTGAAAGGAGTAGACGTGATAATTTTTAGTTTGGAAAATTATTGATTTAAAACAGATATAAAATAATATTATGTTATTATAACAATTATTTCTATATTATAATTGCTACACATATGATATAAATGTGTACATGCGTGCATGCATATTTGGTTACTTAGATAAAAAAATGTTATATAATTCCGTTAAAATACAAAATTACAAATAATAAAAATTGGATAATAACTAGTTAGTAAGTTAAAAGTTAAATAAAAAGCTAATAACTTTTAACTTAATTTAATTAATTTTAAATAAATTAATTTTTAACTTTATTACTTTTAAATTTTAATTTATTAACTTTTTCTTTTTAAATTAAAGTTTTTTTTACATCAAAATGTCAATATTATTTTTTATAAAATCTTAATTATCAAAGAATTAGTTTAGAAAGAGCTCAATAATTGAATGATTATAGTCCCAAAAATGAACATGCGTTGGATCTGTATTTAGGGAATGTTATCAATACCATTGCGTCACGTTATCTTTGTTTTATGGGCGATAAAGAATAAAAGCTTTTTATTTGCATATAAATTTTAAAGAACGTGCAGGCATGGCTAACACAAAGAGGACAAGATTACCTATATTTTAAAAAAGTTTGAACTTTTTTCTTTTATAATGTATAATATTAAAATATAAAAATACTTATATAAAAATAATAAAAATCATCAAATACAATAGAGAACGCCAACATGGTCAAAGTTAGATGTTTTGAATAATATATATATTCTTTAAATCAATTTATTTCAGATATGATTGCGCACTGATAATTTTTCGAACTTTCAATCAAAACGTCTGAAACGTAAATAATTCCTTCTAAATTAAATTAGAGAAACTATAGAGAACTTATTGCGTAAAATATTAACTCAATCAGAATTCGAACCTCTCGACTTTCCGGGTGTAATATGAGGCAATATGAGGCAATATGAGGCAATATTTTAGTGTAATATGAAGTAATATTTTTGATAATAAGTTCTTTACAGTTTTTGTAATTTAATTAGCGTTTCAAACTGATTGTATTGAAAGTCCGAAAAATTATCGGCGCAATTATATCTGAAATAAATTGATTTAAAGAATATATATATTATTTGAAACATCTATCTTTAACCGTGTTCTCTATCGTATTTAATTCATATACAATCGTTTCTTAAGTCTTAATAATAATAAAAATCAGTTATTATTGTGCAAGAAATATCTTTGTTATCTTATAAAATTTACAAATAAAATATTGATTTATCTATATTTATCTATATGATTGTTTTGTTATTTAAAATAATCTGATTTAATAAAAACGTTTTTCAAAATTAATTTTTTATTTAACTTTAATTCAATCTTAACGTAACTTTAACTAAATCAGTTTTTTGTTCATTCAATCTTTAATAACTTACCCTGCAAATAAGTATAGATATAGATTTTAATATAATTTATTGTTTATCACTAATTATGACTAAAGTTAATACATTTAAATTGATTTGCTACAGAAAGGAAATGCAAAAGATATTTGTTACAATGTTTTTTTTATATTTAAAGTCGCTTGGGTATGAAACCTGGTGGTTGCGCTGTATATCACAAGTCTAATCGTGAGACAATGGTGGAGATAGGGGATTCTGTACGTGGTAAAGACTTGTATCTAA